CAATGTCTTTCTACGTCCTATCTCTATGTCACTCTCAGATGGTAATGACTAAATACTCACATTCATTGACTTTCAGTTTTGTTTTACAAATGTATTTGAATTATGTTCTAATATACTAAAGTCATTTTATTGGCGATTATTCGATCATTTCTTTTGAATAAAAAGCTAGTCAAACTTAAAATTTCTTAACATCAGTTCAGGGAAAAAACATTTTTGTATATCCGAATAGTTTTTATTATTATTTATACAGGAGACATAATTTTTCAAAAATGATAGGGTAAATTTCTAGATTTACGTCTTTAAAAATAATGAAACAAAAAAAAAATTATCAAATATGAAACAATGGAACGAAATAAAGTAAATCTCCTTAAATATTTATATGCATCGAAAATATATTATGTAAATTTCACTATCCAATACAACCTTTAGACGTGCAACTGGATTGCCCATGACTGCATATAGTCTTTCCTGAAGAAGTTTTATGGCATTCTCATTGTCTTCTTGCCAAGTTTTCTTTGTTTTCCATTTTGGAAGAAGCAGTAAAAACGACACTACTGAAGGTTACAATTGCGATGACAAGTATGAAAATAACAATAAGATTTTTCATGATGTTTTTTAATGATTTTAAATCGATGTTTTATAATGTTTTTATTATTTCGAATGAGATATATCGCAAGTTCTCTGCACGCGTATTTATATTATAATCGTACTAAAATTATCAAATTTCACGATGAGTTCGTGAATCACAATCAGAATCACAGCAAAGCTCCAATGGCTTATGAGCAGAGTTTTAAATAGCTATATTATGAATGTATCCTGCCATTCCAAAATTTCATTTTAATGAAATTCATATAAAAATATTGTATAAATTATAAAAATGCTTTAATATTAAAAAGGAATTCATTTGTTTGTTTGGTTTGTTGAACTGCAGAGTCAAGCCACGCCAAGCCTAGTGTAGTGTTACGAAAATATTTTTCTAAATATTTTTTTAATTAATATTATTGTTTTCTAAATACGGTGTGTTAGTGATCGACCTACAGTAGATGATACGGTATAGAATATCTCGACCCGCGCATTTCGATGTATGATAACCCCGAATCATTTTTAGTTAAAATCCTGATGATCGATCCGCGAAAAAATTGTATTCTTACCCCGTGATTGATTGATTAATTTTTTAATTTTCACTAGGGTAATATATCACATCTATAGATAAGATAATTCGCAAACCGTTTAGCAAATACAAAAACTTTCTTTGGATGATCACTTTTATTGAAATATATTATTTCATATTTATAAAAAAAATAAACTTAGACATTAAATTTCGCGATCAAGTGGCGCAGTATCGTTTATAACTTGATAATTTTAAAGAAAAATAATTGAATCAAAAATCAAAGAATTGACTAAAAATATTCAAATAAAATTTATTTGTAACGGAAAATAGAGGAATTAATCTAATATAATTCACTGTCCTGTTCAAAAGTCCGGGATTCAACCCGGACTTTTGAATAGGACGGCTCCCATGAACATAGGTCAAATTGACAACTGAGAAGTTGACTACGGGACGAATTGCCCAAATTAACCACCGTTCAAAATGTCCTCTAAGCCAATTTGTCTCATGAACAAATTTTCCTCTTGGATTTAAGGACCGAATTGCAAGAGCATGGCATTAAGTCTAGAAATTTCCCAATAATTTTAAATAAGCCGCAGTAATTTTTATTGAAGTACAGAGGTTCGACGTTGAGGCAATACTAGATAAAATATTATGTCATAAGCTATCTTTTTTAAAACTTGATATAATTATTAAAAATTTCTTTTTGCCAGAAAATAGACATACGCGGCCTCAAGAGAAATCATTCCACCAAGATCCAAGGTACCCCTCATTTTAATACTTTACTGTGTTCCTCTAGACCATAAAGTTGTTAACAGATCATTAGAGACAACGCCATGTAAAAGTGCACATAATGAAACACACACACGAGGGACAAAGCTTTATTAACAAATTATTAATTTAAAGTCACTTATCAACATTTTATCAATCACATCATAAACGAAAATAAAGTAAAATAAAGCTAAATGACTTTCGATATCGAGAATGTTAAATATTTTTTAGATTTTATGTAACATGCTGTGTAAAGCTGGTAGATGTAATAGAATACTTTTTGTTTAGTAGATTTGTTTGTTTATATGCTAAAAAAAAAGTATGTTTTGCAAGACGATTACTATCGGCTGTTCAAAAAAAAAATAAAATAAAAAATAAAAATAGAACAGATATCAATTGATCCTGTCGTTATCTCATATTTATAGGAGAGGGGTAATTTTTAAAACAGATTATTTGTTAAAACGATTACGATATTTGCGATTAGCAAGAGTTGAAAGAGTTGAGCAAATGTTGATCACTTAAACGAAATTTTGACAAGATTGTATAATATTTCAATTATTGCTCTGTAATAGGCCTTAAGTAAAGAGAATTCTTCCCAACAATACTTAAGGAAAAACGAAGCTTTTTTATGATGATAATTTTTTTCAGGGCTTCATTACGCTATTCCAATTAATTATCATATCATTTAAACACAATGAAGACAAACACATTTTTACTTTATTAAATCATTCATCAAATAGTAACGATAATACAATAAAATAACCCTTTCCAAAAGCCAATGATTTGAGACATGAAATAATCAACGTTACAAGGCTATATATATCTTTGTAAATTAAAAATTAAGTGCAGAAAATTCGAAATCTTACATAATTAAAATTAACTAATCATGAAAATAATAATTTGTTAAGGATAATCGCACATCTTTTCAAAATCACACCCAATCTTATCACCAAGAATTTCTTTAAATTTGTTCCATTCGCAATATTCACTCTCGCAACCCGGAATCAAAAACGGTTTAAAATCTAGCAATACTCGTATCAATACGTGATCATCGGAACACGTATAAACTTCGAAATAAAGCGTAGAAGACCAGTGTATAAGT